TTTAAGAAAAGGGACGCGTGTCTTCTTCTTCTTCTTCTTCCCACCGACAATAACATTATTTTCTATTCTCACAATTCTATTCTATAAACAATCAATGAAATGATTAAACGTCACCTATGTGAGTCCCCTTTACGAATTAATTTTTTACGTTAAACGCATACACTCGCGAATAAAACTTTCGTCATCTTAAAACACAATTAATTATAATTCCTTATCCGATCGATATCTTTGTGTATATTAAAAAAAAAAATTGATCTTCTATTATATAAAAGTTTCATAATAAAGCATATATATAAAAACAAAAATTCCAAATTGAATGACTCGTTGTTTTTACAGAGAAAAATAATCATGCATAAAGAAGACTTTTACTTTTGCACCGCTTGACCAAAATGATCTATCTCCCCTTTTGCATAAAATGTTACAACATACGACACTACTTAACATACAAAATAAGGTATCTATATAAAACGAAAGAAAGAAAGAAGGGGGAGGAAAAAAAGGGAGAACAAAACGACAAAAATATAAACATCGACAATATGTACCTGTGCCGCATTACGTAAAAATCACGTTGCATTTACGAAGGGATAAAAAGGGATTGGAAAAAAAAAAAAAAAAGAAAAAAAAAGGTAGGGAAAGAAGACAAAGGATCGATACAAAGGAAAGGGAAACATATCGGAACGTTTTTGCAGGAACGCTCGGTCATACAATGAGAGGTAAAATCAAAGGGATTCTAAACGGAGAGATAGAGACAGAGAGAGAGAAAAAAAAAGGAAAAGAAAGAGAGAGATGAGGGTGGGAGGGGGAGGGGTAAAAAATCGAAGCGACCAGGTAACGTAACGTATCGTCTCCGATAGAATAATGCTGGAGGGTGAATCGTTGAGTACAACGTGTCTGCTGTACATGGTATTCGATTCGATAGAAACCTATCGCTCGCTTTGTCATGTACTACTCTATCCTCCTTTCACATAATTAGTTTCGTCTAATGGTAAGCGATCCTTTTCATTGATCTAAAAGACAATGTAACATAGAATAAGGTGAAAGAAAGGAGAAATGAGGATTCTACCGAGTCGAATCGCTAAATAAAACGAAATAGCTAAAGAAGAGTTGGGAGTTACCATTAGATATTAGCTTCTTTATCTTTTTCCCCCCCTTTCTTTCTTTTTTTCTTTCTCTCTCTCTCTCACTCTTTCTATTTCTTTCTCTGTTGATGCTATACCAACGATGGAAAGATAACAAAACCTTCCTTCCTTCTACCCTCGATATCTTTCTACGCTTTTACAAACGGACTACGACGACTATGGCATAGAAATAAGAGTCGTCTGAACTAGTAAAAGAAGAACGGTCGAATCCATTTTTACGGCCGACCGAGTCCCTATTTTGTTATTTTTTTCTCTCTCTCACTTTCTTTTTTTACAACAGAACTGTCTAAGTCACATCATCTGTATCTAAGCATACCATTTACTTTCTTCCCTTTTCGAGAGATAAAAGTTTACATATTGACATTTTGTTCTTTATTCTCATCGCTTTTTATCTTCGACATTTTATCTTCGTTTCAATCCGTTTATACACAAAAGTTTAATGTAAGAAATGTACAACAAAAAATGTATGTTTTTTTTTCTCAATTTTGGAATATTTCACAATCTTCGTAATGATTATAAATTAATAAATAACAGAACGTGAAATCACATTCTAAATTGTATTAATTATAATAATAATAATAATGTTAAGAATTGTAAGATTTAATAAATTATGAGATCAATTTAGGAAAACAACAACATAAACTAATAATCCTTTTTCATGAATAATGAAAGTAACCCCTGTGCTCGATATATAATTATTTAAAAACAATTAAATAACAAGTTGAAACAGTTCATACGTCGTAGGTAGCACGCATTGCGGTTGCGATAATCGATTTTAACTGCGTCAAAGAGAGAGAAAGAAAGAGAGAGAGAGAGTATATGTGTGAGTGAGTGAAAAAGAGAATATTTCAAGTGAAAAAATAAAACTAACATTTTCCATCGAGAAAAGACTGTGACGTGAGAAAAGAGGAAGAATGAAATGAAGGAGTTAGGATAAGGAAAGTAAAGCGGGAGAATAATAATTGAGAGAAAAGAAAAAAAGAAAATGCCCCCCCATGGATTACATTAAAACGCGAGGCCACGTCTGCGTGGGTAATGTCAGAACACGAGTTATAATGGGATATAAAACTCGACTAGCATTCGATGCAACGTAATAATGGACATATCGTATTATGTTGATATCGATCGGATTAACTCGTCGGAGAAGTTTATCGCTTTTAAACGATGCGATGGTTTACCCTACTTCGTACAGTTTTTATGAGAGCTGATCAAAAAGAATACAAAAATAAGTAGGTATACGTCAATTATACGGGATCGATCATAAATCTGATCGATTCGATATAACGAATAGTAATATCATAAAAATAAAGAGATATGCTTTGGATATGTAAATAAAAAATATACCAGGCTCGGTTGAACAGTTTTGAGCCTGGTCAAAAAAAGAAATAAAGCATTTAAATGAATGTGTGTTCGGATCGAGAACAAAATTAGGCTCGAAACTTTTCAAACAAATATATACATACGTGGTGTAGATCGATAATTATATGACAACAGATTAAATAGAAAAATTGATATTACGGGATGAATCATTAAATACATTTATTCTTCTTCTTCAATTATTTTGACATAGTCCAAAAAGTGGCATGGAGAAATAAAGTTTTATCGTCGTGTAAAATAAATTATCCAGTTATCTAAACGATATTTGAAATTTTCAAAATGATTATAAAATACAAATAACTATACGACTGCTTCTATCTGATTACTAAGTGTCTTTGTCATCGGTCTCTCGTAAATAAGTAATGAATGTCTTCTTTGACAATGGGCTATTAACATACCACCTATGTCTCATGCTTTAAAAATTTACAGTAACAACTATTTTGAATATGTTTGAAATGATTTATTGATCCAATGTATGATCAAATAAATGCTTTTATGTAAGTAGAAATATTTCTATAAGATCCCCCCTAAACTGTTTTTAATCGTATACAATAAATAATACACATGTAACGCGTGTACAATGAGTTACAAAAATATTCGTACCCGATCTCACTGGCAATTTTAAATAATTGATATTCTCTTATAATACGCGAAGTTTTAAATTTCTTATACGGAAACGTACGTGTTTTCGTATTATTCAAATTGATATAAATATTTTGTTATTATACAAAATATTTTTTTTTTTATGGAGAAATACAATTTGACATAAATGATAATAAAATTGTTTGAAACATTGCATTAAAAATAAATATAAATTGTGTGTTTAAAATTATAACAAAGAGATGTTAAAAATATTCCTTTGACTCATTATATGTGTTCGTACCTAATGATCTAATGTCTATAATCGTAACAAAGCGTATCATGTGCATCTAAATAATACAACAAAAAAATATAATCATGAATACATAGTAGACCTTGAACCATTTTCTCTTCGACATTTTTGTCGGACTTCGACCGACAAAAAAATATAGTATGTTACATTAACGTGAATCACCTGACATTTTTCAAAACACCTAATCTCTCAAAGTAATCTTTCATTGACCGCGTGTTCTCTCCAATTTTTCTCTTCGCGATAACACGAGGAATTAATTCAAAAAAGAACAAAAAAAAGAAAAAAATAATCGCAATTATACGGAAAGACAAAAAAATCGTTTATTTTTAAATCTAGTAAAAACAGACCATCGCATGTGTCCCTTGAAGTGGTGCAACTTTGCTCTGAGCATTTTTTCCCCATTAAATTAAAAATAAGGAAAATGAAAAGGTGATAACATTTATTAGATCACTCAGTTTATAAACATATACGAGGATGGGTTGAAAAGAGAGAGTTTTGAACATCAAAAAATAATTCTTATTTATTTTCTTGTTTTTTTTTTTTTTTTAAATAAAAGTGAGTTCGACCGATAAAAAAAGTTTCTATGTTAGGCTCAAAACTTTTCAACCCACCCACAAACATATTATATACTACATATAAAAAAAAAAAAAAAACATATTAAAAAATTACAAGAAAATTCATACTATTTTCTGCATGCATATATTCATAATTTAATCATCTCTCTCTCTCTCTCTCTTTTTTTCTTTTCTTTTCCTCTTTTACTTCGCCCATTTCTCTTGACTTTTATCTTCCTCGCACACACGAGCATCTGTAATAATACTCCTTTCGCGAATCGGGTATATCACGAATACTTTTTCCGTCGAGGATCCGCACTGGGTATATGTATATAATATATATACATATATATGTGCATATGTATAGATATATATATATATATATATAAACGTCATTCTGGAGAAAGCGAGTGGAGAGAGATAAATAAGGTCACGATAGGAGACATCCGGTGAAATAACGGCGCGAACGTTGAAGTCATAGGGGTAGGACCATGTTATAATTCGAAACAAAAAAAAAATGTAGAAAAAGGAGCGAGCGAGAGAGAGAGAGAGAGAGAGAGAGAGAGAGAGAAGTAGGCAAGGTAATACTTAAATTGCATAAAGAAAAAATGCATCTGTTGCAGCAGGTGTCGTTTTTTCGCATAAACAATTTTCTTCTCTTCCCTTGATGCTCGGTGACCTTCGAACGAAGAGAGAGACAGAGAGAGAGAGAGAGAGAGGGAGACGGATATATGTAGGAGAAGGGAAAAAAGATAAAAAGAGAGGGAAATAGAACAGAGTAAAGTCGAGGTGAACAAAATATGACACTACGAAAAGATAAAATATCTTTGAAAGAGAATAAATTAAAGGACATAGAAAAGGACTTTAATATAAGAGGAGAGAGGGGATAGAATGAAGGGGCGGGTACGGTCGACATGTTCGAAAAAAAGATGAGAAAAAGCGTATTACGAGAGTAAAGTAAAGATAGATTTAACACATATGACACACATAAATGTAAATGAATAGAAATAATAACGAAGAAAAATCTAAATTACTCACCTTATCCGAGGGTATATTACGCGAACTCATGGTAAACCGCGTTTGGGGTTGTCTTGCCACCAATAAATCCAGAGTCTCTCCAGAGGCCGTCCGTGGTTCGTACCAAACACCCTTTCTCCTTTGCGGTAAATAGTACGAATGACAATGACAACGAAGATGTAGCACAGTAAGAGTTGTGACAAAGTTGACGTTGGCAATGAAGCAGCAAACTTAGAATTCGATGGACGAGGAAGAAGAAGAGGCGTCTTCCTCTTCGCAGGAGTGTCGAAAGTTGCGCTCCAAAAGAGGTAGGTACAGTGTATGTATGTATGTATGATGTGTGTATATATGTGTGTGTGTGTGTTTTATATATCACGGACGAAGAAAGAAAACCTAAGGAAGAGGAAGAAAAGAGCACCTTTCCCTTTTATTCCCTTGAATAACGATATTATTATTAGTGCTCTTTTTCTCTCTCTCTCTCTCTCTCTCTCTCTCTCTCTCTCCCTCTCTCTTTCGTTCTCTATATGTGTGTATATATATCCTGTGTATATATACGTGTGTTTATATATATGTATATATATATATATATAAATTTTGTTTTATATTATGGAACGAAGAGAAGAAGAGGCGGACGATGACGATGAAAGAAAAAACAGCACTTTCACGAAACACAACTCACTACACCATTTCGATCCGAGTTGGGCCCTTGGCCGCGCGCGCTCCTCCGATCGGTTCACCAACAACAACGAGCCAAAGACGACGGCCACGGCAACCCCGACGACGACGACGACGACGACGACGACAACGACGACAGCAGCAAGGCCCGTCGTTACTTGCACATATCGCTCGCGAAATATCTCGGTAACATCTTGCTAATATAGACGAACGACGTTACGAGGAGCGTTTTCTTCACTGCTTATGCTTCCACTTTACCGTTCTCTCCTTCCCTCTCTCTCTCTCTCTCTCTCTCTCTCTTTATTTCTTTCTTTTTCTCTTTTTTTTTTCTTTCTCTCTTCTCTTCTCTTTCTCTCTTTTTCGTTCTCGCTCCCTCGCCGCTCTCCTTACACCGCACGCGCCCACCGTCCCAGTGTCAGAGCCAAACACATAAAATGGCGATACCGAGACGATGCAGCTTTCTGGGGAAGCCTCAAGCATCGACTAGTCGGCTATATAACGACAGCTCGCTTTTCTGCAACGACCTGACTGCGGTCGATTCTTCTTCCAATGGCGGCAACCTATCGACGCGCACTCTATCGGCAACCCTGACGTAGTTATCTTTTTAGTTACTAATGCTAGAATTGATCGGTCATCCAATTGGATGAATCTGATTTGTGAAATATGTGCTCACGAATGGATAATACTAGATAATAGTAATTTCTCTTCCTTCCTTTTTTTTTTAATAGCCCTCATTTACTTTTTATACTATAATTAATTTCATTGGTTAAACCCAACGAGAACGGGTTAGTTGTTATTGTATAAAAAGAAGTTATCAGTGAGTAACTGTATCACATATATTGTATTTCTAGGAATTAGTGTGGACATTCTAAGAAGAAATTATTACGACAGAACTGCTACCTAGTGGTACGAATGGATTATGAGTCTATTACCTTTTCTAGTACACGGTGATGTTGGATAAGATCTCATGATCTATGTATAACCTCGTAAACTATCGGCTACTGTTTTGACAGCTCTATAATAACGGAGCAATCCGCACAATTTTGCATTATGAGTATTCGTAATGATTATTTGATGTTTATTTGACGATTAATAACTTATTTTTAACCGTTTATATCGTTAAATTTCTCGAAAGAAAAATGTCTACAATTATAGACGATAAAGTGGTCGCAGGAGCCAAAAGTTTAAATACTATTAAAGAAGATCCCATTGTAGCATTGACAGTAAGAACATTTATAATATATTCATTTTATTTATTATTATTACTATTTAATATAATAATTTTCATTGTCTTGTGTGTTAGGAGAAAGTAAAGTCTCTATATCTCTTTCGGGATCATTATTTTGAAAATCATCTTATTAAAGAAGCTATTAAAAAAAATAGTGATGTTGAGAAAGAAATGAAAGAAACTATAAGTAAATTTGATGAATGCAAAGGTTATGAAATAGATGGTAGCCGGGCAAAGTATTATTATTTGAAAGGAAAGGCTTTAAACGTTGTAGATCGTTATATTCCTCAAGCAGAAGAACTCTTGAGTAAAGCTGTTAAATTAGAACCAAATCTAACTGAAGCCTGGAACGAATTAGGAGAATGTTATTGGAAGAATGATGATATTCAACAGGCTAAAAATTGTTTCGTTGGTGCTTTATCTCATGTATGTTTTTTATATATAAAAATATTATTTATTTAAATTATTGCTATTAAATGATTTGTATTTATATTATTTGTCTAGGGTAAGAATAAAGTCTCTTTACGTAATCTATCCATGGTACTAAGACAAGAACCAACTTCGACCAGTGAACAGCGTGCACAGAATATTCAACAAGGTGTTGAATATGCCAAGGAATCTGTCAGCTTAGATACAACGGATGGTACCTCTTGGGCAATATTAGGAAATGCATATTTGTCTTCCTTTTTTACACTTGCACAAAGTCCTAACACTTTACGTCTTTGTATGTCAGCGTATACACAAGCAGTAAGTAATAAATGATAATAGATAATAATATTAATGAATAATTCTTATTTTCTATCTTCAGGAAAAAGATATTGTAGCAAAAAGTAACCCAGACTTATTTTATAACAAAGCTATTGTAAGTTTTGCGATCATTTGTTTGATTAGATTTTTATGATACATATATATCTCCATATTCAATTTATAATTATCTATTGAAATCAATTTTAGGCATTAAAGTATCAAGAAGAATATAATTTAGCATTAAATTCGTTTGAGAGAGCAATGTCATTGGATCCAACATGGGAAACCCCATCCAATAAAAGAGATGAACTGTTACAATATTTAAAAGATGTGCAAAATTTAGTAAATACAAATGGACGTGTTAAACCAAAAAGGCTTTATCAAATGATTAGGGTACTTAACAATTATTTGCAAAATACATACTCTTCATTATCTTACTAATAACTTACTTTGATCGTTATCGTGTATTTAATACTGAGGTAGTTTCGTTTTCTTTGTAAACGTAAAGCATGATCCTAGTGTGTATACAAATTTATAGGGTTGTAATTAACTGTAGGCATTGGATGCTAAACACTTAGGACCATATAAAGGTGGATCATTTACATCGGGTGAAAACTCTATAAAGTTAGATTTAATACCATTGAAAAGTTTAGTACTTGGAATAAATAGGGAGAAAGTTGTACTTGGAAAAGTAGTATGCTGGATTCAAGACTCCGATTGTGTACCTTTGTAAGTATACTGAGAATTGAAAGAAGTATTTTTTATTTAAATAATGTAATGAGTATTATACTTACTTTGTAGTGCATTTTGTCTTGTTGACCATGAGAAAACTTGCATCGCTGTTACGCTATATAATTTAGCTAAGGGTAGAGGAGTTACGGTAGGTGATTCGGTCGCTATTCCTGAGCCTTTTGTCATTCATCACAAGTTTTCTTATATGAACAACGTTAGTATTTTAACGTAAATCGGTTGGTGTAATACTTAAAGTTATAGGCATAATCAATAGTTATGTATTTTTCTAGGATTTTGACTTCAAGTCTATACGCGTTGAAACACCGATCATATTAGTCGTTAACGGAAAAAAATTGGGTCTCGAGCAACAAGCTGGAGTTAAGTTACATACTTTTAAGAAAACCGACTGAGATAAATTTTTTAAAGAAAATGTCGATATAATTTTGTGAAAATTGATTACCGCATTATCGTATAACTTTATTTAACTTTATAAAAAAATAGTAGGATAGTATTAGAAGAAAACTGGTTAAAAAGATTTTTACAAATAAAAATATATCCGATATTGCGGTTAATTAAATTTTCTTATGTTATATAAAATATAATATAATATATTATATATAACATTAGTTTATAATGAACGAGTTTTATACATTTTTTGATTATTTGCGTGCTGTTGCACATTGAAGCTTTACTTACTATAGTCCTTCAATGAATTACTTTAACATAAACATTCACTTCATTTGAAAGAGAGGAAGCTATTTGTATGATCGCATAATTTACGTTATTTGTATTATAAAATGTATTTTCAGTCTATTATTTACGTTGATTGTTGAAGACTCTTGAAAATATGTTTATGTTATTACTAAGTTATTGTATTATCATGTTGATAACAGTGAACTCTAAATTCTATAATTGATGGCGTTGATACTCAATATATATGTGATACAAGAAGACACGTCACTTTGCAATACTTGAAAAGTAATTTTATGTTCTTGTTATAGATGTCAATTAATAGTGATACTCTCGATAGAAAATATACTTATAGATACTTTCCATGTCCGTAACCTGAGAAAGAATTTCAAGCACAATATTCTAAAGACAATGTGAATATCGAGTCGATACATTTGTAGTTTGCATAATTTTAACTTCACCCATCTACACAAGATGAACGTACAACAAATAACTAATTTTATCGATAAACAATATGTACAAGTCTTTTATCGAAATACTTTTTAAGGAGCACAATATACGAATTGATGCGCGTAAATAGCGTTTTTTCTATCATTTAGGATACTATAATATAATACGTTTAAAATTCGATGAATAAAACATATTCAATTCGGGACTGATCGCGTATTATAATAAAAAACACTATAAAACCATAAAATTCGCATAATTTTCTAATATCTAATCCAGTAGGTTCATCGTGCCAATAGAATAAGTTCTTTTCGTATACATAAAAAGAAAAGAGAAAAAAAAATGACGACGACAACAATTATTCTAATTACCGTCCAACATGTGTAATCGTAAAAATAAATGATGTCAAATACTTTAATCCCAATATCAAACGAATTAACGTAAATAATCAAACGGAAAACGCAGCTGCTTTATTAATATTAAATTAATTGAAGAATAAGCAACGTTACGTCTATAAATCTTTGAGCATATTATTAAAAGCAATCCAATAACGATCGCGATAGAGATTCATTATTAAAATAGAATTTTCTTTTCTTTTCCTACTTAATCTAGAAAATAAGATTAAAATATTTTAATTCGATAGATCGATTATATCTAGATGACATTCTAATCAGCGCGTTTTCCGATTAGAGATCTTATTGAATAACGCTTGTGATATATTACAAACTTTTTGTATAAAAATGTTTTCTATTAACGATTATAATAATAAATACTTATTTATAACAATATAACAGAGTTGGGCTAAATACGTGAAAAGTCGTGTGTACGTAATATATAGTTCAGTACGGCTTTCCAGGAACGTTTAAATCAAAGAGGAAATCCATAAAATTATCGAACCGGTTCTCGATCATCGTCAGTTATATAAATCATCTCGAACAATCTTGGATCTCAAAGATCGTAACATCATATTCCTCTAACGAATCACTATGAAACGAAGACCTCTTTTTTTACGACATTGCATTCGTCGTAATTGCAATTTAACCATCTCACATGTTCACTTCCCAAAGCTTAAAATAATTGTCGATCACTTCTAGGAACCACTCGCGTTTCTTCAAATCTTTGAAAATTGGTGCCAAAGTACGAAGTTGGAGTTGTAAGAGTGCCTCGTTTCCGAGCAAGCCATCTAATTGTCTGAGTAAGGCAGCATCACCGTGAAGTTTCAGCAAGCTGGCATACGAGAAGATGTAATAATGTACTCGAAGTCTTTCAACAGCCCAAGCTTCTACTGAACGATTTCCACTTGCGGATTGTATGGCACCCATGTGTTCGGCGTACCAAGGTGAGAAATAATTATTTAGTTCCAATGTTGAAAGCTCGGAGACACCACGTATTTTTAAACGTTCCTTTATACGTAGATATACTTGAGGAGTGTAAACAAATACCTGGAAAACAAATTATATTCTTTTATTTGCAAAACTAATTAGCGATTATTAAGAAGATTTTTAAATTTCGATATCATTGTCTTGACAATACGATTGATAAAAGAAACGTTTTCGATTTTTAAGTGAAAGTATTTTTTCTACGTCCTCCTACAAAAAAAAAAGAACAAGGATCATATAAATTGAGAATCACAACTTATTGCATAATTCGTTTGTATATTTCGAGAGTGTCGAGTTATTTCATTTCAAAGAAACGACGTTGAAGTACCAATGATGCATATTTAGATCTAATCAGTGCTAATTATTAATGGTTATTCTAAGTATATACATATGTTTCTAAGAACAATAGTAATTGTTCTCTTACTATTACTATAACGGGTAGTTGAACTCTTTCTTTTTCTCTCGCAAGGTCTATACGGATAGGTAATTTCGTTTCAATAACTATAGAATGGCATGATCGGATATAAGTCGTTTCCTCTCGCGAGAATTGACGAGGTCGAGCGTTGAGAAACAAATTGAGAGAAAGGTACCATACTTTTTTTTAGACATTATCATTTGTAAACTTAATCCGATAAAGTTGACCTTATTATCTATTTAGAAAAAAAAAAAAAATCATTTCATTACAAATAAAAATCATATTGTCGTTACAACATCTTATATTTTATTAAATCGAAAAATCGAAAAAAGCTAATAAACACATTTTACAAAAAATGTAAAAGGATGATTTAGATCAAAAGTAAGTAACATCTTTTCTACCATGGTTACACGATCATTATCGATCAATCTTTTTTTTTATTAAAAAAATTCGCTAGCTATCGTTTCATGTTTAAAAATAAAAACGCGACAGTGTCAAATATTAGAGGCCGCAAATAGAAGCACGGACAACATGTAACTCGTTGGCCATTAAATTACCTACGTCTTATTGAAAATAATTAATAAAAATAAATAATCTCACCTGATAGAGTGAATTCCCAGTGATATAAGAAGCGATATAATGAGAGCCATAGTTCCTGATGAAGCTAATGACACTAAAGGTATCACCAACTGTGACGTTCTCTGTTTCTCTGAGTACAGCTTCGTCGAGGATTAATGATTCAGCTGTAGCAACGAGCTTTTGATTTTCTCGAAATCTGGCGACCCGTACAAGAACGTAACAATAATCGCCGCCGATGAAAGATGCGTTTATACCAAGATGCCTAGCGATGGCAGCTTTAGACCAACTGGCAGTGAACGCTCGCCAAGGTCTTTCTAATTTCTCGAAAGTGAAATCACGGAAATATGCTTGCAGGAGTTGTCTTACGTTGTCACAAAATTCCATGTGAAAATCACCATCGAATACGCTATTCATCGATTTCCCTTGTTGCAATTGATTAGATGGTATAGCTTTTGGATTCTTAAAAACATCTAAAGTTGGCTCACGAAATATCCAAGTGTCCGTGTCATTACGCGGCACAACCCTCATACTGATGCTTAGGTAACCGTAGCGAGTGAAAACGTTAACAGCACCACCAAGATGAGGCTTTTGAGAGCTCGTTATGCGATCCCCGATCAGGACGATCAGTATCGTTAACAGGAGACCCAAGCTCCTACTCGTCCACATCTCGCGAGGATGGACACCGAAAATGGTCCTATCTGAAATAGTATTAAACATCGTTAAACGATCGTTTAATAAAACGTTTCATTAGTTTCAACTTTTGTTATATTAAATATCGAGACACAAATGTTGATAATTAGAAAACAATTAATCAGATATTTGTTCACACTTTGAAAGAAAATTAAAATAACGATTCAGAATATGTTATATTCTTCGTTGATCTAATATACAAGAAAACAGATATTAAAATCCACTATTTACACAATGCAGTTATTGTTTTTTTTTTAAATATTCTATTTCTTGTCTGGAAGTATTCACTTAAGTAAATTCACAGCTGGCAATTTGACCGCTCAAGTGTTCCGAGATCGTGATTGTATACTTTGTAGTTTCTCGTATTGTGTATACACGTTGGACAAGTGAGAAATCGTTATCAGAAATAATGTATGAAGTTAAATGATAAAAGTATATAGTATCAAAAATATATATAGTGTAAAATTAGATACAAAAAATATTATTTTGTCTTTGGAAGTAAAAGGAAATGCAGATATTGCAAGGTTCTTCCCGGATTAAAGGTACAAGCAAGAAGAACAGAAGAGTCTCTAGCGAGTAAATGCAACTATCTATAAGCGGAAGATCGAGCGAGGTTCGTTACATCGGTCGCATCTTCGGTCGCATCTTCGGGTTCTTCAATGTGCACTCGTATGCATGTATGTACGTAGGAATGTCTGGTAAACTCGTTATCTTGTTTATGTAGGTCTAGGTGTACGTTGTCGAGGTATTTGCCACGAACGGAGCCAACGGCCTTCATCCCCACCTGTCTTACTGAACGACAAGCTTGCTTTGCGAGGGCTTCCCCATGCTTATACATATCTTCTTTCTTTTTGTATCTTTCCCCCCCCCCTCTCTCTCTTTCTCTCTTTCTTTATTTCTTTCTTCGTTTTATTCCTTCTCACATTTCACTGATCTCCCAAGGAAGGTTAACAGCAAACCCTCGACTTCTTTCAACCTGTTCAGACTTGCAATGTACATTCGCTTCGCTTCCATGATTCCTTACCAACGTAACCACGATTAAAATAAATATTTTCCAATTATAAAGTAATCCAATTCACCAATTTTTAAATAATTCATCATTTCTGTATAATTAATTATTCATATCATTGTGTTGGATTATTCGATTTATATTGATATTTTTCTAACTTTCGTCAATGTATATTCTTCAATCATCTTATATATTACTTCTATTAAAATTTAAATCTTACATTAGATTTGTACTTTAATGAATTTCCATGACCGTGATCATCATTGATTGATGCTATCAGAAAAAGGCCCTGACTTTATTAATCAATTGAAGATTTAACTCTCGTATCCTTCGAGTTGATTTAACGGAGTTTGCGATGTCATTGATGGAAAGTATTACGTAATAGAAACAGACTAAAAAAATATAATTCAAGTGAATACGCAACACAATTAAAGTCTCACTTGAGTAGTTCACCAGGCGACAATCTATCTAATACATAATACAATATATACATCTGTTGTGTATATATAATACATATACATATAGCATATACACCTACACGTTTCCACATAAGTGCATTGTCCGATTGATCGTTCCTTGGAACTACAACTACACTTTATGGCACTATAAATTATTTGTACGCTTCCTAGCTGATTAATTTATAGTTAGAGAATACAAGCTTCTACTCGTTATCAACAAATATTGTGTTCGAACATCAAAGGAAAAGAAAATATTTGAAGCTTTTCGTTTTAAATCTTTCACAACAATTTTACGTTAAATGTATTCTAATATTCAATAATAATTGATAAACATATCTTTGAGAATATTCTAAAAATTACTAAGATAAAGTTGATTGAATGATTTTGTATAAAATGATTAAAATTAAAAGTTTTTAATTATGAAGAGTGAAAATATAAAGAAAATTGTTAATGAAATTAATATCATTGAAAATTGTTCATAAGAGAAAAGTTCGACGATCCCAAGAAAATATATAAGTGCACGTGCACGTGCAAGTTACGCGAGAATATGCGAAGGTCATGCACACAGCCCTGGACTTCTTCCAAGCAAGCTAGCTATCACTAAGCGGTACAACGAGTTCGTCTTGCCTCGATGACTTCTAGATGACCATTAGACGACTATTCGCGATAGACTATCTCAGGAAATGGCTTATACTATACCAAAGACGACGTTGGTTATACAATATTTATCGTTGTCTAATATTTCTTATTTATCATCAACTATTGCAATACATTTCTCTTCGAGATTTATTTCGCGATATTAGAAAATTTATTTATACGTCGAATATTAAATGATTTTATTATTAATACACACACACACACACAAATATCACATATATCTATATGTATATTACAATATTAATTTGTTAAACTTTTATACGATCGATTAGAAAATTCTCCATTGAACGATTTTTTCATCCAAAGAGAATTAATTTCATTATCAATCAAAAGAGAAGGAACACAAAAAAAGAATTGAATGAATTATAAGAATATCATTTTAAATTGATACTGTTATCTCTCTCTCTCTCTCTCTCTCTCTCTCTCTCTTTCTATTTCCGTTTAAACTTAAATTAATAAATAAAAATATACTTGTATGAAAGAAGACAACACTAAAAGCGGTCTCATCGTTGTTTGATACTTGGAATGAATCAAATATGGTTTAAATGGCTTTGTTAAAAGTAGCAATTTTATGGGACGTCATAGTGACCCTCTTGCTACGTTTTTACCGTCGCAACGGTTCCGGATATTACGTTTTCTGCCGTTCACTCGTGAAATCATCTACTTATATATATATATATAAAAACGTACGAAGGAAAACAGTCGTTGAATCCTCTTTCTTCAAGCACGAAAGCTAATTGTACGGAGTTATTATCGTACTATAAAATAATAATGACAGATCTTTTCGTCTAATCGTTGCGATGTAAAAATCTCCCCCTCCCTTCCCTCTTCCCACCCTCACAATAATAATAACTTGTACAATGATTATCTACCAATTTACTAAACGTTTCAGATCATTGGATTTAAAATCAATTTAAATATTCGTAATGTTCGGAAAGACACTTTATCGTTATACGATTGTGTTGTTTTTTTTTTTTGAAAAATCATGTTAAATTTGACTTACATCAATCTTGATCCAGGTCGAGTAAACTTTGCCATTTTTGAACACGCCTGCCGTATTTGCCCTACTGACCTTTTATGACCGATAATCGTGCATTTCGTTTTGATTCAGCACACTTCTGATCGATGTTGCACTATTGTGAAACGTTATATATCATTTCAATATATTATATATATTTTTTGGACCGATCCAATAATGCAATTCTTTTATTTATATATTAATTAATCTTTTGTTCTTTTGACATAATATGTTTTGATGAGATAATTAAATAGAAAATGTTTATGCCAATACATATTATTATTAGATAAAGCGATGAGAGACCTGAATAGAGATTATTGTAACACGCGAATTACAATCGTACTATAGAATGATTATGAAAAGTATTGTTAAATGTATGTATACTATGAATATTGTATAACATATTAATACATTGCTTATTATACTATATTTAATATTATGCATATTTATTGTGCATAAACATTTGCAGTCTAATAATAATAATAGATGAATAATTGGATTAGAATTATATTGTTATAATTAGATCTATTTTCTATATATATAGAAATTTTTTCTATACACAAATTTTCTATACGAGGAAGTTGTTGAAAAAAGGAATCACGTGTGTATCTTGTGCATTGATAAAAGGCGCCTACATAGTGAAACTTACGTAACATGCCGGTTATTTGTCGGTTTATCTCGAAAGGAAGATCGTTCCACATACCTAGATTCAAAGTTACGCGTAACGAACGATAGAAATAATACATATTCATGAGATTACGTGAAAAAATTGTTAAGACACATAACGTCCTTTGCAATATTTCCGATTGCGGTTCGATAAATTCTCGTTGAATTATCCTAGGAATATAATATACTCATACATAGACATGTAAAATGTAGTATCCCTACGTCAATTATACTTCGAGTATTTACTCTGACAATCATACATTTTTATAAGACACGAGAATTATTCTATACGTTTCAACATCGACTATGACATGGTTTTTTCTTTTTTTTCTATTATAATACGTAATACATATTTCGTATTATTTAATAAAATTTCGTTAAACGTCTAAACTTAATGATCTGTACGATATTGCGATATTCTTCGATGCCATTATACATTTTTATTTATTGTTAGATCACGATTTCTAACAGTTTTCATTTCACTAATGTAAGCCACATTGACAACAAGCCTGTGAAATCGAAAATAACAGCCTCCAAATTAGTAAAACGGAAGGAACTAGATCCACTTTCGCTATTCGCTTTCAGATCCATACGAGTTGTTTGATGCATTCATTTGTGAGGAATAAATTACTGCTCATACTGTTTACACGTTAAGTGTTAACTTAGTAATGATATTAATTACACAAATTTACTATTAATTCAAATATTTTTAAACGCCATCTGTACATACGCTCTCATTCAAGAATTAATCTATAATTCTTATTGGATTTTATTTTTTCAAATGATAGTCTTTTGTTTTGCTAATGATAAAGTGTCAAAGAATTGTCAATTTTACAATAATCTTTTTAAAGAATAAAAGTAAGAAAAAGGTTAGAATAAGATTAACGTAAAAAAAAAAAAAGAAAAAAGTGATTTAAGATGGTGTTGTCTACCTTTAAAATAATTGCCGACAAAAGATGTAGAAATTTCATAGAAATTCCAAAAGTATAATCTTCGTCGATAGCTCGAATGAAATATCCTTTATGGTTATCAAATATTTCTTTGATAACTCGATCCACCAAGAATTCTCGGGTCGTTAAACAGCCCCATTAAAAATAATAACTGAACGCGTATTATATGTGAGTTTTGATTCGTTTGTCTTCAAATACGAGTTGTGTATACGGAGGTCAATGGGAAAGAATTACTTAAATACTCTCATGG